AACACCAAGCCACAAGGGATCTGCCCCCATGACTCAAATACCTCCCACCAGGCCCCATCTCCAACACTGGAGATTACAATTCAACGTGAGATTTGCTGGGGACGTATATTCAAACTATATCACCACTCATGTCTTTATTATGAAGTCTAAAAGATACCTATCAAAAATAATAACCACAATAAATTGCTAAGAGATAGACAATATAGAAAGATATAGATTGAGACCAAAAACATCCTCAAAATGGGGGAAGGGGAATTGAGTTTTAGTGTAAATTTTTTTTGTTTGTTTGGTTTGTTTTACTCTTCTTTTCTTTGTAATCAGAGTTAAGTTGTCATCAGTTTAAAATCCACTGGTTATGTTTTCTTCAAGCCCCATAGTAACCACAAAGGAAATAACTTATAATGGATACACACACACACAAAAAAAAGAAAGAAGTTAAAATATACTACCAGAGAAGATCCCTTACACACAAAGGAAGACAGGAAGAAAGAAAAAAAACAAAAGAGAGAGAGACTAACAAAAACAACCAGAAAACAAATAACAAAATAGCCGCAGTTAGCCCTTTCCTAAAATAGCCAGAGTCCTTTCCTATCAATAATAACTCTGAATATAAATGGACTAAATTCTCCACGTAAAAGAGAAACAGTGGTTGAATAGATTAACGATAAGACCCAACTATATGCTGCCTACAAGAAACTCAGTTCATATATGAAGACTCATATAGACTGAAAATAGAGAGATGGAAAAAGATATTCCATGCAAATGGAAACCAAAAAAGAGCAGGAGTAGCTGTACTTATATCAGATAAAATAGATTTCAAGACAAAAACTATAGAAAGAGACCAAAAAAGTCATTATATAATGATAAAGAAGTCAATTCAGCAGGAGAATTTAAGAATTGTAAGTATCTATATACCTAACACTGGAATATCCAGATATAAAGTAAATATTATTACAGCTGAAGAGAGAGATAGACTCTAATACAATAACAGCAGGCGACTTCAACACTCCACTATAAGCATTAGACAGATCATCCAGATAGAAAATCAACAAAGAAACATTAGACTTAATCTACACTATAGACCAAATAGACATTTACAGAACATTTCCACCAACAGCTACAGAATCAAGTTATATACTTATAACTCTTAAAGGAGGTAGATTCCCAAAATGAACTTTAAAAAATTATTTATTTATTTATGAGACAGAGGCTTGCTCTTTAGCCCAGGCTGCAGTGCAGTGACACTCAGCTCACTGCAATCCTTCACCTCATGGGCTCAAGCAATTATCCCACCTCAGCCTCCTCAGTAGCTGGGATTACAGGCACTTGCCACCACACCCAGATAATTTTTGTACTTTTAGTAGAGATGGGGTTTCACCACGTTTTCCAGGCTTGTCTTGAACTCCTGACCTCAGGTGATCTGCCCACCTTGGTCTCCCGAAGTGCTGGGATTATAGGCGTGAGCCACCATGCCCAGCTGCACTTGACAAATTAATAGGTTAGGTATCAAACTATCAATAAATATAAAAATTAAAACAGGTTATATGTAGCCTGATTATCATGCATATCTATTGTTTTGTACCAGCATCCCCTCCTTCACTTCTGGTAATAACCACTCCCCCATCCATGGCTGCTTTTGGAGAAATGTAATTCCATATATTTCTGATGTGATTAGTTGCAGAGGTGGATATGTAACCTAAGTTGAGCAAATCAGAGTCCTTCTCTAGGATTTTTGATGGTGAAGTTGGGAAGGAAAAGTTATCTTTCTTCTTTCATCATAAGCTTTAAAATATAACCCAGGAAGTTAGCAGTTTTATAAACCAGAATATTACGAACCCTTGAGACTAAGGATAATACACAAGCAGAAATTAAAATGAGAGTCTAAAAGCAACAAGAGAGGAAGAGAGAGATAAAGACACAAAGAAAAAGGGAGAAACAGAGAGATGGGAGTAGGGGGGCAGAGAAACACAGAGACAAACTCAAGGCTGAGACAAAGACAGAGTTTCCTGATATTGTCTGAGTCATGATGTTGTATAAGTCCAGTTAACCCGAAGACCAGCCCTATCTCTTCTTTCCTGAGTATTGAATACTTAAACTAATAAATTTCCTTTATTCATTTAAGTGAGTTTAATATAGTATCTGTCACTTGCAACCAAAAGAAAGGTGGATAATTATTCTGCCAGACATGAGTAAAAATTATCTGGTACATAAACATTCTATCAGAGTTGAATAAACAGTGACCATTTCCTCCCCCTGCATAAGTAAACAAAAGCACAGGGCATATCCAGACTATTTCCATATACTTACCGTTAACCAACCAGGTGACCAGTCTAAAAAGTGACTCAAAGTATTTGTGTGTGTATGGGTGAGGCAGAAGACAGGCATTATGCGAAAAGCTTGGTTGGTAGGTGTTATGGGTTAAACTGTGTCCCTCCCCACCCCCCAAAAAAGATATGTTGAAGTCTAACCCCTGTCCCTCAAAATGTTCACCTTTTTGAAAATAGGGCTATTGCAAGCAGAATTAGTTAACTTCAAATGAGGTCATACTGGACGAGAGTGTGCCTCAATTCAATATGACTGGTGTCCCTACAAGAACACATCCATATCTCTTCCTAGGTTCTTGTGGTTGCCTAGAAATCTTCTGTGTTCCTTGGCTTGTAGTTGTACAACTTGAATCTGTGCCTTCGTAATCACATTATGTTCTCCTTATGTGTCTGTCTTTACATGGATGTCTTCTTGTAAGGACACCAATCATATTGGATTGAGGAACACTCTAGTCCAAATACCTTCACTAAATATAGGATGTCAGAGTTAATTCAACATTATATATGGGTTATATCCAACAAAGAGAATTATTTTTCTTTTTTTCTTTTTTTGAGACAAGGTCTTGCTCGGCTGTCCACATTGGGGTGCGGTGACAGAATCACAGCTCACTGCAACCTTGAACTCCTGAGTTCAAGAAATCCTCCCACTTCAGCCTCCTGAGTAGCTAGAACTACAGGCATATGCCACCGTGCCTGGCTCATTTTTTAATATTTACTAAAGACAAGGTCTTACTATGCTGCCCAGACTGGTCTCAAACTACTGGGCTCAAGCAATCCTCCCCCATCAGCCTCCAAATGTGCTGGGATTACAGGTATTAAAACCACCTGTGCAAATGTTGTAATTCAGGAAATTATGACAGTGAAAGAGATCAGACCTAACCGACTCCATCTTGCTTCTAACCTTTAAGCTGACCTTGTTTATTCCTGCGTGTAGGCTGAACTAACCTTGGGAAGGAATTTAGTTGATGGTTTTGTAGTGCCCAATGGGTTCACCTTGCCTGTTGCCTAGACAGAGTTGATTTACCAAGACAGAGCTGGCTGTGCAGGAGACCAGAGTTTTATTACTCAAATCAGTCTCCCTAAGTATTCGGGATCAGAGTTTGTAAAGATGATTTGGTGAGTAGGGGCTTAGGAAGTGGGGAGTGCTGATTGGTCAGGTTGGAGATGGACTCACAGTGGGGCTGAAGTGAGGTCTTCTTGCTGTCTTCTATTCCTGGGTGGGATCACAGAACTGGTTGAGCCAGATTACCAGACTAGGTGGTGTCAGCTGATCCACCTAATGCAGGGTCTGCAAAATATCTCAAGCACTGATCTTAGTTTTTACAATAGTGATATTATACCCAGGAGCCATTTGAAGACGTTCAGACTCTTGCAGCCAGAGGCTGCATGACCCCTAAACCATAATTTCTTTTTTTGGGCGGGGAATTGAGTCTTGCTCTGTCACCCAGGCTGGAGTGCAGTGGTGTGATATCTCCTCACTGCAAACTCCACTTCCTGGGTTCCGGAGATTCTCCTGCCTCAGTCTCCCGAGTAGCTGGGATTACAGGCACCCGCCACCATGCCCGGCTAATTTTTCTTTCTTTCTTTTTTTTTTTTTTTAGGAAAGACGGGGTTTCACCAAGTAGGGCAGGTTGGTCTTAAACTCCTGACCTCAAGTGATCCACCCGTCTTGGCTTCCCGAAGTGCTGGGATTACAGACGTGAGCCACCACGCCCAGTGCCTAAACCATAATTTCTAATCTCATAGCTAACCTATTAGTCCCTTGAAGGCAGACTTATCCCCAGGCAAAAAGCGGGTCTTTTTGCGAAAGGGCTATTATCAATCTTGTTTCAGAGTCAAACCATAAACTAAATTCCTTCCCAAGGTTAGTTCTGCCTATGCCCAAGAATGAACAAGGATAGCTTAAAGGTTAGAAGCAAGATGGAGTCAGTTTGGTCTGAGCTCTTTCACTCATAATTTCCTCAGTTTTATTTTTTGCAAAGGTGGTTTCGGTTTGACTCTGAAACAAAATTCATAATAGCCCTTTTTCAAAAAGACCCCCTTTCTTGCCTGGGGGCCAGTCTGCCTTTACAGACTAACAAATTAGCTACAAAATCAGAAATTATGGTTTAGGGGTAATGCAGCCTCTGGCTGCAAAAGTCTGAACATCTCCAAATGGCTCCTGGGGATAACATCACTATTGTAAAACCTAACCATTTCTGTGATCCCACCTAGAAACAGAAGACAGCAAGAAAACCTCACTTGAAACCCCCTATGATTCCATCTCCAACCTGACCAGTCAGCACTCCCCACTTCCCAAGCCCCTACCCACCAAATCATCTTTAAAAACTCCAACCCCCAATGCTCAGGGAGACTGATTTGAGTAGTAATAAAACTCCGGTCTCCCGTACAGCCGGCTCTGTGTGAATTACTCTTTCTCCATGGCAATTCTGTCTTGCCAAATCAGCTCTGTCTAGGCAGCAGGCAAGGTGAACCTGTTGGGCAGTTACAGGATGAGCCACCATGCCCAGATGAGAATTGTTTTTCTAAAACAGGTAGAGACTGGAAGATAAATAAACAGAATGAATAAAAGAGATATCATAACATTTCTAATCTAAAGCTAACATAAAATGAAAGGTAAATTAAAAACAAATAATTCAGGTCAGTGGTCTAGTTCTTGAAAAGCATCACACTTACCCAGAGTTTTACATGCAAAAAGAGCCATGGCACTTTGCAATCTGTCCGGTCTTAGCGCCTGTACTACGAGAATCTTAAAATAAAATGCAGAATATTTTTAAAGAATAAAGTTGTGCAACTACTTTAAACAATAATTAATGTTAACTAATTAAACAAATGTTTACTAAATATGGGAACACTTATCATTGTTTCATAATATTTACTGTGCTTTAAACTGTCACTATAGGTATATAGCAAGTATATATCAAAAATGTTACTGAAATCCGTTTACTTCCTCAAGCCTATCATCAAAAGTAAACATAGGGTTAGCAGCGTCTTCCGGATCTAATAAAAGGCTAAATGGCAGGTGAAAATCATGGTATGTAGGTGAGGCATTTCTGTTGACAGCAAACAGAGACCCAGAAATCCTCCCTAAAATGTTCAAATCACTATTTTTACCTTTAAAAAAAAAACAGGAAAGAAACAGTGTCTCGCCCTGTCACCCAGGCTGGAGTGCAGTGGTACAATCACATCTCACTGCTGCCTCGAATCCTGAGCTCATGTGATCTTTGCACCGCAGCCTCCCAAGTAGCTGGGACTACTGATTCATATATATCTATGATATTCCTAGATGTTTTAAGTTTTCAAATCAATTTTTTCTTAGTCATTTTCCTTTTGGTTAAGCACTCTTGGGGAAATAGAATTCACTGTATATGGAGACACAAAGGGGTCAGATCAAGAGAAGAGATAAATGGAAAGGTCATTTCCTGGAGAATCAACTTCTGAAAAGCTCTCCCACTCTAATCTTTTTGACTAGCAAAAAAATTTGAGTGGAACCTGCCAGTAGGTTTCATCATTCTATTTTAAAATAGAATGGGAAAAATCCCCTGTTACTCACTATTAGGTCTTTTCCTTAAAAATAACTCCAGGAAATGATTGTAAAACTTGTACAATTTGTACCTTAGTTTCTTTCTGAAATAGATTTTTCCTATTACAAAATCCCCCTGGGGTCTCAGGCAAAGGGAATAACAAAGCCACAGTGAGAGAGAAACCCGGCCCAGAAACTTTGGCATGATTTAATTGTCAATAAAGTGGCAAAAGCATCAAGCCCTTCCCTAAATATGCCATTAAAGGTAAAGTAACACTCTAAAAGCAAAGCTTTCCTTTAAATGGCTTCTGAATAATAAGAGAAACATTAAACACTTTTTTTTGCATTTAGATAACACTAAATTTTACCTGCTGAAATAAGGAAACTTTCTTTGCAAGAATAGATGGAAACTCTTGCTCACACATTGAATTATGATAATAAGTACGCCACAGAGCTGCATCTTCAAAGCAGAGGGTCTGATAAAGACTGGGGAGAGCAATCTAAAAAATAAAAATGGCCATATACAGTGAGCTATAAGCAAATATAAGCACATATATTTATTTTTTAAAAAACTAAAAGTGAGAACCAATTATTAGTTGATGTTTATTGCTCATTTTCTACTTTGTGTTGGCTTATCTAATTATTTCTAGGTCAGCAACACTATGGTAAACTCACCTAATATTAAAGCCAGAATTAAAATAAACTTCCAAAGTAGTACTAAACCAGTGCTCAGGAGTTAAATCTTTTCTCTATGTAAAAACATTTGTATCTAGCTATCTCTACCTTATGAAGAAAACAAATGCGGTCATTAAGATCAAGTGTAAAATCTTTTTTTTTTTTTT